ACAAAGGCGAAAATTTAGAAAAATTTATACGAATAAAATAACAAGATGAAAATTCAATTTCTGTTTAGAAGAGAAACATAAAATTATTAAAATTACAACAAAACATATCGTTGCACACCCAACGGATGAATGGTATGGGAGATTATCATGAGAAATTACGAAAAATAATTATTTGTCAGTCCCTTCAGTTATTAAAAATCGATAATTGAAATGAACTGAATGAAATATTTGAATAGAGCAATTCGTTTTATTGACAAAAACATTCAGTCGTACAAATTACCATTCTAAGAAAAAAAGAAGGGATCAATGGAAATACATGTGGATCAATGCATATTTTCAGTGAAAAAGAATGCACAGTGTTCAATGTTCATCTGTTGTTAGGTCAGAGGTCATATGCTTATGATATCTCGAAATCTAAATTACACAGCAAAATGAAACTTGCCTACTGAAAAATGGATTAAGATCAACTGGGTTATTCATAGGTGCTCAATGAAGCATTAAATTGTGATCGTTCTCAAATATCTTCTATTCTTAACATGATAAAGTAATCCATTGAAATAATATTACATCGTCATTTTAAAGATAACGAAAAATCCTTGTCAATAGGATACAAATCCAAAAATAAAAAATTTTCAAGAATTTCTCAGGATAATTAATAACATTAGATTTCTAGAATTTCTGGAAGCAATCATTTCACGACTAATTCTATTCAGTAAATCTAACATACTAAAATCAAAGATTTGAATCGATCAAAAAATTGATAAATTAACATAGGGATTAGAAATCGAAAACTATAATAAGCCTAAGATGGCATTTTAAAACTCTCACTCTCCAAAAACTTTTTTCCTGTTAATTTTATGATGACTTAAAGCACAAATGTTGTGTAGAATTTGGAGTAAATCTGGTAAATAATACCAAATGAAGCAGATAAAAAGATCGAATTTTGTAATACTTTGAATTAATTTGTGAGAATTCGTTTTTCCTTTCTTTACCTTATTTCATATTTTCCACTCTTCAACAGCTCCATACTTACCATACTTCTTTTACCTTTTCTTCGTGGAACTCTTAGCTGTATCGCTTTTTCAGCTTGAAATGACGAAACGGTATTAAGAGTTACGATGCATCACATTCAAATCTTCCTGAAAAACTTTTGATCAACAACATATCTTAACTTGGTCTCAAATTCACTTCAAACTCCATCGTCTTCCCTTTTTATACAAACCACCTATATACCGTCCATTCATCCAACAGATCATCGGGTCACAGTGCTGGGACGGTGCCAAAGTTTTCTCCGAGACAAAGAAGCCATTCATGGCTAAAAGCGGTCATTCTCAATATCAAAAAGAATGAAATATGTATGATGGAAGAAGGCAGATGTTCTCAATGACCGCCTTCTGAGAGAAAGAAAATGTACTTAGCAGTTTATTTCATTCGTCATACGAACGAGAAAAAGGAGAAATGGATAACGAAGGAAAATGACATTCGTACTGAACGAGTAACAGGCACATTTCCTTCCAATCATCTCTCACCCATTAAAGAATATTAGAAACAGGCAAAAGTACGCAATAGAGGCACTTTCGAATCACAACAATAAAGTTGTGGGAGTGAAAAAAAAAAATGCATCGAGAATTCGGGAAATACTTCACCTAAAGACAGTACGTGGTGTAACATAACTGTCCACATTTGTTGTCACTACTTTTGTTAAATTTTGAAATCAAACAGACTTTGAGGGAAATATTGATACCAAGTTAAAAGGTTTAAGAGCAATGAAGTTGAAAAATTTGTTGCAAAATATAGATAGTAAAGGTTAATGGCCCAAATATTTAAGAAATAGCAGAAAAATCACTTTGTTGCCTGTCCTCTTTCTCTTCTTCTATTTGCTCTCCTCAATATTGTGCAATTTAGAATTTATTTTTTGATGAATTAAATCGTTCACAATTCCTTTTTGCTCAAAAAAAAAAAAAATTGAAAAACACGATGAGACATTAATTTACTACAATTTTTCCTTTAAGCTTCTTGAATAATTCATTTTGCCCGAATAGATTTCAAGTGGCATATTGTGCCAAACGGCTGTCACTGCTGAGTAGATAAGGGAAAACTCGGGAGAAATGAGGTGAAGAAAACGAAGGAAATGGATGACCTCGACCTTGATAAGAGTAAATTGTGAGTGCTTTGAGAATGAATAGCGGGAATTTCGTAACATATCGCGGATTAGTCACAAATGATTAACAAATGTTTGAAGAAAAAAAAAAATAGAATTTTGAATCGATCAAATAAACTTCAACCGAAACCGTCCCATTCCCATATATTCCGCAAAAAAAGAATTATTCCGTACAAACTACCCATTACAAGGTCAAATATTAGCAAGTAGGCGGTAATAGACAATGGAACCAAAAGCGATTTCTCACATACCACAGAGTAAGTTTTTTTTCAACAATTTATTATCTACACTTCATAAAACAACTGAAAGTTGTCCCTACGACAATAGTAACCAACTGAAGCACTTTCCGCTCCATATTTCCTCGTACTTCAGTGATTCACTAAATGCGCATAATATAGTCTTTAGTTCAAGCTTTATAACTGTTACAATAACTGTGATTATTCCTTATCACAACTGCGCATGTTTCCTTTCGATTTTGCTGTGACAGAAATGTGACAGGGAAATATTTCTAAATTATTTGTAGTAAGAGGTAACTGCCTTGATCATAAATCAACACTTACCGAATACTCCGAAATCTTGCGTGAACTTAACCAGTTTAATGGATTTCATTACCAGTTTCCCGAAAAATTATCACTTCACAGTGAAATCTGTCAAAAAATGCAACTGAAATATCTACGAAACCGACCCAACCATTACTTTTAACCATAAAATGTTTTATTCAGACCTAACATCTCTTTAAATGATTTCACATTTCTCTCCTTTCTTCTCATCCTCATATCCGAGCAGTTGCTGATTGAAAAGAAAGCTGAATTTGGAATTTCTCACAAACACTGTCGTGTACTGAGGACAATCAATTCAGTTCACTAACAGTTCAATAACATTGGGGAAATGAAATTAAATATCCTTCCAAAATCATTTCCAGAACATACAAATGTAAACAGCATAAGGTCGTGCTTCGAGTGCTGCAATATTTCAATTTACCCAGATACTTGGATCACGTACGTCCTCTTATATGAATGATTTGAAATTGACGTTGGTTCTGAAAGAAGTTCTCAGTTGATATTAAAATACTGCTACATCTGATGTATTTTCCACCAGCTCACCAGAAGCCCTTCCATGTCTGACACAAATATAATATGATGCTATGATTTCAACATTTGCAATTGAAAAGTGATAAAATGCGCAACCCAACACAATGCATTTTACCCGCGGATATATTTCATAAATGTTCACTTTCGAAAAAGTCTTGAAAGGAAGATATCCTCTTTAAGACACATAAGAATAACTGAAGATGCCTTGTATTTAAATAAATAATTTAAATTAGACAATCGAGTTTAGCAGTATTAATAATTGGAATGATAAATATCTTTTGATGTTGTCACAATCAAGGGATGCTCGTTTACAATAGAAACTGTCACGATAATATATGAAAGGTACAAATCTTCCATTGAACTGTTTCATTCAAACAAATTAGCAATTTATTTTTTCAATTCCCTCCAATTTCTGTACAATTTAAGAAGCGTAAGTCGTCCGACCAAAAATAGTGAGGTAGATTGATCTACTTGAAAGATGCAGAATTCAAAGAAAATTCTACCGTTCTGAAACAACTGCTTCGTTACAAAAGCCATATGAGTATATTTGACCAGCCGATGTGCAACTTTTTAAATTTCGAAAAAATGAAAGGAAAGAAATGAAAATTAATTTTTCATACCTGAAACAATTTTCGATCGAAATTGAAATTACTTAGTTATGAATCTGAATTTTGAACAGCAAATGATGTAAGAGCAAAAACTAGTTTCCAGAGAAATAGAAGTAGAAATTGGACAGTGAGAGGAAAACGTAAGAAGAAATGAACAAAAGGTGAAGGGGAGAGATTTAATTAAGGTAACTGAAGGTAAGAACCACATCAGCAATCTACAAAATGCGCTCCATTTATTCGTGGATATTCTCATTACCACCATTATGAGAGAAATTATTAATGTGAAATGTATACTGCTAGAAAGGGGAATAGAATAGAATATATCGGTGAATTACGGTAAAGCAGCAACAGCCTGTACTTCTTTCCTCCATCTTCTTGTTCACATTTTACAATGCTCTAAAATTAATATTAGCAATAATTTGAAATTTATCAGTTTTTTTATAATACAATAATATAATTTTTTTATAATTTTCTATAATTTATATTTACGTTATCACAAAGTGAATGTTCATTTTGTGTCCACTTGGTATAAATTGAAGGATGAAGTGCAAAAGGGAGAGGAAGGAGCAAAGTTTAAAAACATTTGAAACAGCAGGTCTCTGTGATGATAGCTTAACCAAATGTTACCATTTAGGTTCCTCAAAAAATGACATTGTACTTCAAATTGGTTTTACAGGTGAATAAAACATCACTGAATGCGTTTATCATTGATTGGAACAGCAGCTGAGCTGAAGTGGATAGGTCAACTGTCATGACAATGTAGGTAAGAAAGGTTATAAGGTCACAAGGAGGTCACAAGTTATCGGATCAACCGACAAAATAATCGATAGTACTGAGAAAAGAAACTGCGTTAAAATATCAGCAAAAATTAATAACGTTATTGGAGAATATGGTTGTTCAATATATGGAAAAAAAGGAAGGAAATTACTAACACAAAGTATTAGGTCCTTGGAGTGGTGCGCGACAACCAATCAATTTAATAGCGTAAAAAAAACAACAACGAAAGGTCAGAGGTTACAACTAGTGCTCCAGATGTTGCTCCTCCAGCATTAGTGGTAACTCTTGTTGTTGTTATTGCTGTAATCAATTATCTGCCACAAGACACTTTAAACAGTGCGTTAAAAGTGTATATTGGCTTATATGTTCATGAGTGGGGATCGATGTCTCAGGAATGAAACACCACAGGTTACTCTTTCCTCGGAAATTTTCACATTCCGCGAAAAATTAAACTACTCCCTTTGTATTGGAACAATTTCAAACAATTCGAGCTTTTAACCATCCAAAAAGGATTCTTTCACTTTAATTACAACCCATACAAATTTTTGAAAAAAAAAACGCTTAAAATTTAGTTTTATCCTAAAAAATCAAAATTTTCTAGAATAATATCAGTTTTTCGAAGAAGGAAGTTTTAGTATCGCAACGTCATGAAAATTGAAAATAAGGACCTGTGAATTAATTGGGATGAATAAATCGATCTGGTGGTATAAGAAGTGTCTATGAATGTATGTTAGTGAATGATTAACGGATAAAATGACAAAATCTCTTCAGCGATACTATCAAGGGCGATGAAATATGAATTGTAGTGAAAACCATAAGTAAAAATAAAAACTGGCCTTCAGTTTGTAAGGAATACCAGTGAAATCATAATAAACTGAACCTGTTCCTAAACCTCACAGAGAAAATAGTTGCACCTGTATCCCACAGACGCAATATGACATGTTCCATTTACGATCTGTCGATGACATCCTAATCCAGTGCAGCCTTTCTCAGTAAAATCAGGTTCTTACTTCCTTTTGATCACACCACGTAAAAAATTTTAACTTGAAGTTCAGTTATAGAGTCTGTTTAGTTAGATCTGAAGTTCTCTCTCTCCATTCAATGATATATTAATCTTTCACTGATCAAATTTCTACTGTGCCCTTAAATTTTTTAATTCCATTTTAGCATCCAAGCAATAATTCATCAATTTTGGCCTGTTCAATTCCAATAAAATTTCCATTTTGTTTTATCAGGGCTAGCTCTGTCGTAAAATGTCTCTGTTGCATGTGTAAAATAAAATTTTCCAAATGGAAGAATGCTAAGATGATGGGTGCAATGGGTCTCTCTCACCCTCTCAGATTACATCATTTCTCATCGAACGATAACCGAAAAATTCATTTTCACTACTGAATTGAGGAGGGATCATAAACGCGATTTATTGTTAGTTTCAGGTGACGAAGTAAAACATCTCATTGATCAAAGCGCTTTTGCATCATATTGGCATGAAATAGAAGCTAAAAGAAGAATTGAACTATAATGAAATGATAATTGCAATTGTAATTCCATGTTTTCGCTTTGCTATTACGGTGGAAGTTTGTGGCTCATTGAGATAATATTCATGCAAGAGGAAGGAATCAAGTCTTAGCCTTGCCGATGTTTACAGCAAGTATCAGTTATTACGCAGCCATGCAACAAGATGATGCCAACGAAACACAATCCATGCCGATCGTCGCAGCTATTCAAAGCTCTTTTATTGCTTATAATCATTTGCTGCTATTCCCAATGGCTTTAATGGCTTTTTCGTTGAACATATCCGGCTTACACTATTGGCCACTTCTCTCAAATAAAGATTCTGGAAAAGGTGTCACCCATTTTGCTTATGGAAAGAATCTAGCCAAGGTAAAGAGTGAAAGTTTGGGCTGAAGTTTATGAGCAATTCTTTTAATTCTTCCTGTAAATGCGCATATGTTCGCTTTTGATTCCCCCGTCTCGTAACCGCCCGGGATTCGTTCTTTATCAGCACAAGGAAAGCAATGTCGCAGCAATGTTGATCTGTGCTCCCTGTTCGTTTCACAGTTAAATTCATTTTCTTTTCTTTTCACATTAATCAATTCATATTATACATTTTATCATATCATATCTACTGGCAAATGATACGAATTTTAATACACTTTGTCGTTGTTCTTTTTCTGTACGACTTTATAATTCCATGCTTTTATCGTTGCATTTACGCTATTTCAGCTTTATGGGATTTATTTACTCTCCTATTCCGGCTTATTTAAATATTGTCCAGAAGGCCAGAAAAATCTGAAACGTTTTAGAAACTTGCATTCCTTGTCGTATCTTTGAGATTGATGGCAGAAATCTGTTTCATTTGGTACCTGACGTTATGATAACCGAGTTTCATTTGATTTCGATAATTGTTTCTTGACATTGGTTTTGCATAGACCATTTGATGACTACCCTTAATTTTCTTAATATTAAATGTGAAAGGTAAATGCGAATGTCACATGCATGTGTCGTCAAATATTGTTGTAGTGTAATGAATCATAGCCCTGATGCCCAACTTCGGATTCCTAAACAGGAATCCGAAATAAATCTTTCATACTGGAATAATGAATTAAATGACCAAAGCTAACTATGGAGTGCTTAAATGTCAAAGACTTGACAATATAGCCCCTGATGGCAGACTATTTGCCAATGTTGTGTCATTAACTTTTGATAGCAAGAAGTAACCATATTTAAGCTGTAAATATTCGATTTTAACGCTATGAAAAGCAGGAATTGGTGATAAACAAAACTTAACTACTTCAGGACGACAACAGGATGAATATAAGGTAACAAATGGAGATTATCATGATGGTACCACTTTGTCGGTGTGCAGATGTACCTGCCCGTAGAAGTACGAGATAGTATCACTGAGGATTGCGAGGTCGATCCTTAATGTGCTCTGATACGTGTCTGCTACAACGACATCAAAAATAAGCTCATCGAAAAAAACGAAGAAGGAGAAAACTGGTTTCTATAAATTAGGACGTATGTGAAAAGAGCAGAAGCCTTTTAATGTGGAAAAAAGGTGCAACTACACTAGCTCAATGTAACAAGTTTGGCTTAGGCCAAGTAAGCAAGCAAGGCCACATGAAAGGCCGAATGTAGCTGCTCTGTTCTGTTACAGAGAGAGATCAAAAATACCGCAATCTGTGGATTGAGAAAGACAAGAAGTAAATAACCGCATAGGCATTCGCCGATCCAGACATTAGTAGACTCAACGGCCTATGATCTCATCTCATCTCGCTTTTCTATCGTATCCGCAGCAGTATCATGTGGTTATGGAAATGGCTTTATGAAAAATGTACGTGAAATGATGGGAATAAAGTTTAAACATCTTTATTTGCGTATTTCTAATAACACTTAGAGATGATTAGAATATGAAGCAGAGAGTTATTCATACCACTTCCAAGTCGATTTGCTAATTTGGAATGAAACGATTACAGTTCACTTATATCACAATTAATCCACAACAATACTACCTGAAATCATATCAGCCAGACTACCTAATAATTTGCAGACAATATAATCAAACTGAGAGCACTATTTTGTTAAAACATGATCCTAATTCAAATGAGCCATAAATAAAACTTACTCTACTAATCCTTAATCCGCGCTTTTCGAGTATATTTCAGGGTTATAATCTTCTAATGACCATTTCACCTCTTAGTCGAATTTTCTCAGCGAATATGACTGTGATGTTATAAGCCAGTATTTCACGAGATAAATGCTTCTATGTAGCATTGAAGTGATTCATATTTGAAAGGAATCATGTGACTTCGTTTGGACGAATTATCTAACAACAATAAAGAGCCAAGCTATAAAGCAATAGCCAACGGGCTGTTTCCTAAATGGAACAAAGGCTTTGATTTTATTAGGAAATTTTATGCCAAAAAGCTATAATCTTTGTTTTGGTTGTAGTTTATTGGAGAATTTAACTACAATTTTCGGAACAGTGCACTCACTCTCAACGACATTATTTGTTGCGCTCCCCGAAAAATGGCATTTTAAATGACAGGCGCTCTTCTCATCGCTTTTTTTTTTCATTTTCATTTTCAAGAAGAAGAGGAATGTAGTGCCATGTTTGGAATTGTAATGGCTAATTCTGCATTAACCACAACAACTATTTACTGCATTCAGTTAGTGATGAATCAAAATTTTATTCGTAATTGTATGTCGAATTTTTCTCGTTTTTTTTTGTGACTACTTGAATTATTTGCAGTTGTTTCAATGATGGTGCTGTGGTAATGATGTTAAAGATGGAAAAGTTTACCAATGGAATCCATTGGAGAGAGTGACTGAAAGAGGAAAGAGAAGGAAATGTATCGAGCTATTTCACTTGATGATCCGTTCCCTTTTGAGAATATTTCATTTCTTTTTTATAACTGCTTAATCACCAGTTTTTGTTAACTGTTAAGAAAAAAAAAACTGAGGCGACTTTAAATGGATGCATCGTCCACTTTTCTTTTTTGGTGAAGGCAATAAGTGAACATATGAATTTACAAACTTTTAGCATTATTCACTTTGCTTTCACCCTTATGACACTCGACTTAATATCCTGATGAAGACACAAAAATGTTAGATACTGGGAAACAATTAGCAAATTAAAAGCACTGCCACGGATTGTTTAGATCCTCTGAAGCACTTCACAAAATAAACTAAACAAAGTGTTCTGAGAGTTCCCGATACGTTTAGCTGTGATTTCCCAATGCGTTGATTTGGAGGAATTGGAATGCAAGAGAGATTTATCAAAATGAATTCTCATCGTCTTGTTCGGATAGAAAAGAGCTAATAGCAGTTAATAAATGTTTCCTTTGGCGTTTTCATTTCATTCTGGTACAGTTACCGCCACTACCAGCAGTTCACGGCTTGTTTGTATCTCTCATTCGAGAATAAGATCGTCCCTCCCCTCCTCTCCACTTCCACCCGTCACTGTTGACCATTGCAGTTGTGTGTTTTCGCCTAGCTGCATTATTTTTTGTCGGTTCATCTGTGTATGTATGTGTCTGTCTATGTCTGTGTGTATGTGTGTGTATGTATGTATCATAGTATGTCATTTTTGGTGGAATATTCTGCGACGAGCACAAGTGCAGCTGAATGAATGAAAGGGTCAGATGAGATTGAGGTTGTGAAGGAACAGCAAGTCTATCATCACCGATTTGTGTGACCTTCGTCCACTACTGCTCTTGGCTACAGTTGAAGTGGAACTTCTCCTCGGCGTCTTTTCTAATATTTTGTTAATAATAATATAGCAATGTTCTGCAACTAAACTGAATAACAATGCTTGATTCCGTGATATGTTCTTTATCACAATATCGTATGTAGACATTGTGTCAACAGCCAAATAAATCCATTACCAATTTTATGGTTCATATGTGCCAAGAAGACATCACTGGGCCCTATCGGATCAGCACTTCGACATCAGTTTCTTCATTATGTCTCATTTCAAGATAGCTTCCTCTTCATTAGCTTTTAGAATCGAAACTTACTTAGATTGTGATGGAGGAAATAAATCATTCTGCGAATGTTTCATTCCCAACTTTCCATTTAATTTAAGCACACAAATGAAATACACAAAAAGATATAATGGCTTAAGGCTATTAGAATTACCTCAAAAAAGAACAATTCTATTTGTTAGCATTTCAGTGGTATTTTTTTGCCTTCTCATGCTATTTTCTATTCTCTTTTTAATAAATTATCATTCTACAGTAATACTTGTTGATGTTATTACACTCTTTTGAATAATATAATATATATATTTTAAAATTCATCAAGATATTATAAGTTTTTTTCCTTTTTAAATTTCGATCTGTTGAACTTGACACAAATAATTGTATCGTTTTGTCACTAAAAATTTTGGTGTAAAGTGGACCTAATCAGCATAAGAGAGATATTCTATGCAAATTCCAACAGATGTTGAACAGCGTGTAATGCATAGAAACAATTAACCTCATCTATTTCAAAATTTTAAACTATGTAAATCTGTTCTACCATTCCGGATTGACTTCAATCTGTTGTGATTACATTCACTGCTATCCTTCTGGAAGAAATGGAAGTCCTATCCTGAAAAGCATCAAATACATTGTGAAGGATGAAAACCATTCCAGTACGTAGCTGTGATACCATCTTTGAGGACACATCAACTTCCAGTTGTTTACTCGTTGCTTCTTTAAGGTCTAAAATACAGACAATTAATTGCCGATATTTTCATGTGGTATTCGAACTTATATTAGTCAGCAGAAAGGTGTTTTATTAATACTCTAGAAATGATATTTCATCTTCCATGTCTTGCTAAACGTCTAATTAATATTCCAAAAAGAAAATATTTCTGTTACAACAAATATTTCAATAATAGAACCACCGACAGTCTTTAGATCTCTCACAACAGTTCAAAAAGAATCATTTTTCTAAATTCCACTTTATTCATAAATTTTCACATGACACATCCAATGACCCGTGTTGAAGCCTGATTGTCACCATTCATTCTATCAGCCACTATGTTTCTACCTGCAAGGACAGGATAGTATAAAAATTGATGAATAAAACGATAATGTTTGAAGTAGACACATTTCATTATTCAATAACAATACTCAGTAGTAGTAGTAACGAAAGCCTCTAATTTATGATAAACTTGTGCTGAAGTGTTCATCGGCGCACATATCCTACAATTTGTGATCCGCCCATTGTGAGCATTATCGCTTTGTACCATTAGTAAGAGCCTGCAAAATCCGGTAGAAATTAGGCTTCCTGTCTCAGACGTAGAGAGTTATATTATATTTTCAAATTGTTTGGTTCTATCCTATAGATGACCTTTGAATAATCTCACTTCTCTTATAGCTTATAACTTCTGTCCTTCGTTTCGCTTTTATTCACTTATTCAAAGACATTTAACATTTGTCACTGGCATGGACGATGAAGGGCTCAAGTGACCGTTTCAGCCAAACCTTGGTAATTCCGTAAATTTGTGAGGCATTCGCTTACTTTCAAATCAGCAAAATTATTATTAGTTCGACAACATGATAGCTTTTTTTCCTGTTCATCCGGAATTGTGACTCTCAATCAGTTGAACGGTCGATATGTTTTCAGGTATATCTTTTCTGTTGAAATCTTTTTTGAAATATTCGCATATTTTAAAACAGTTGCGTTTGTAGTGTATTCGGATTACTGTTCAAGAAATTACTTTGCATTCAATTATCTTCTCAGAAACTTATTTCTATAACATTTCTAAAAAACCATTTAGAGAGGTCCAACACACTGTTTGTGCTCATTGTCCTTGATGACAAAGCTTCCCATTGCGTAATATTTCGTAATATTTTATTTCCACTCGTTCCACCTCTATCCCCGTATGCATAGTGTCAGGATATGGCTCTGATCCCTTGTCAGATATCCGGTATCTAACATGACGTGATAATATGTTCCGGTTTACTTCTGCTCTTCAGGTAACTTCATTGCCATAACCTATGCCTGTCGAGCTGATCCTCTTTGAAAGCAGTTTTTCAGTAATTTGATTGCACTTTGTGCTCGTTAAATTTCGGAATGCTTGTTATTTCCTGAGTCTTTTATTCTGCTCCGCTTTTTGCTTTTTCACTTTTTTCTCCCATTATCTCGTTTGTATTATAATTTTTTTGCTTCTCGAAAAATTTCAATTCTTCTTATTGTCCTCCTTTTCCCGAACTTGCGGTCCTGCTGGTTTTCTAATTCCGTTTCTCACACTATTGCCATTTTGACCATATCGAATTGACCGCCAGTGATGTTATCACCTATATTGTCTTATCTGCATCATAATTATCATCGTCTTGGTATCATCATTGCCCATCATTGTGATTGTAGATGTCACAATCAGCGTAGTCCTCAAAGTTGAACCGTAGTATTTGAAAAAAACAACTTTCTAAATTTATGACGGTCGCACGGAAGCAAATTAACTCAAAAAGTAATTGATAAATTTTGACATGAACGATCCAAATAAGCTTTCAAATTAAAAAATGATTTGTTTCGAGAAGACATTTCTCAATAAGGAAATCCCCTTCTTTTTTTTTTTCATTTCATTTATTAAACAATTGTTATTGCGATTCTTGTCTTCTACATCGCCATCATCACAATCATTATAACTTCCTTGTCACAGGTTTAATTATCACTGAGTGTTATTATGGTCAACACTGTCATAATTATTATCACCAATGTTGTTTTCATTCCTCAGAAATAAGCCAAATTCCAGTAGACTGCTTATGAGCGCTAATGACAGCATCAGTGTGAATCCAAGCCTGAAGACCAATTCATTTTGATTTAAGCTATTTTAATGCTAACATTTGTCCTGATGGATAATGCTAGAACTTTGAACGCTTACCACTTCATACTAATACGTTGAAACGGGTTTTTCGAACATCTAGAATCTTCAAAAAAGCCGGTATTCGAACAATGAAATTTCCAGACATTCCGGAATATCTCATAGGTAAGGTAGGTAATTATTCTCGTAATTGCTCATCCCTCTCGAGAATCGATAAAAATTGGTTAGACTGGCGAAAAGCCTCATTTCTCACTTTTCCATGTTTTTACCAAGGTAATGATAACTCAATTAGATGCATATTTAACCTTAAAAGTGTGCTATCTCGTTTTTGATTTATCCTCACAATATGTTGTTGACAGTTTCCTCTTAGCCCCTCTCCATTCAATTCTTTTTCGCTCACTTTGTGAAAATGAAGAAGTCGTAGCACAACGTGCGAGGGGAGAAAAGGGGCACTGGAGATCAATTGAGGTAATGACTGCACCATTGTCACCAATGGAATCACTGTCACCAGCACTGGTTACTCATCTCCTAATAAGTCATTCATCTTTTAGTGCTTGCTTTTATTAGTAATTTTTCTAGGAAAATTAAGATTTGGTCATTCGTCTGCTTACAGAATGTCCTCGAAAAATATTCACAATTTTTATGCTTATTTCCGGATAACATTCGACTGTTTTCCAAATATGCGCCACAGTAACTGGAAGGGAGTGACCAGTTCCAGGATCACAATTTCATGATAGATTATAATCAGTGACCTGCCCTTCTATCATTACTCGTCTTCTAGAAGCTTATGCAGGCACAAGCATTTGAACTTTGTCCTTACTGTGACGCCGTGCTTCAACTTCTTTGTATTCAGAGAAATGTCATAGTTAAACTCAGGATGAGCTGGCTAATGATGACCTCTCATTCGCTAATTTGACCTCATTTAAACGACCATTCTAACAAAATCAATCTAACAGAGTTCGGATAAGGTGACATTGCCATTTCCTACATCTACTTATTCTTCATCTCTAGTTGTAAACGTCGAATGATAGATACGGCAACATCTTTTCTGCGCTCTGCAACATGCGCTTCAACTACAATATCTTAGAAGTACTGTCAAGAATGCATTTTTTTTTGAGGCCCTTTCTTTTTCAATTTCTTAAAATGAGAGTGAGAGATATGACGCTAGTTTGGCGGATTCCCTTGTGGTGACTTGTTAAGGTCACAAGATCGAAAACACAATACTTCAATAGCCAATAGACGAAGAATAGCCATAAGCTGAGCGCAAGCAGACCGAAGAGCAGAAGATTGTGCGAACAGTTATAGATGGATTTAACGGTTGGCGGTGACAACAGTGAGGACCGGTAGAAGAGCACATCGACAACGATGGCCCATTCTTTCCCCTTCCCTCGTTCCCTCTCTTCCTCTGTTTGATCGATCTGTTCAGATCGCTATCCAATTCATCTTTCCTCATCATATGTACCACCAATTGTGGGAGTGTTGTGAAGTGCTGAGTAGATGTTAGCGAAGAGAAGGGGTTGTTGTGGTGATGGTGATGGTGTTGGTGATGCGGAGCTTGTGGGGGGATAGGGTAGACCGTCACCGCTACCACAACCACTACCACCATTACTACTACGACAGTTTTGCTTGTTCCGATGATGGTGATAGGAATGACTGACCGTTCTGTTACTATCCTATCTCCGAAAAGTGGAAAAGAGCGGTGGTGTACCACACCCTATGTTCCGAGGTTGTTGGTCCCTTCTCATTTCTGTTCCTTCCTATTGAGTGAATTTCCAACTTTTTGACATATCCACCTCCCTCTCCTTTCTTCATAGATTTATTTCATTTTGTATATCGTCTTCTGTTAATGTAACAAATCACCGGGCCACTCAGACCAATCGTTACCATCGTGTCACCCTACTGCTATTGCTATTGCTATCACTGTTGCATTGAGGTGGCGCTAAAAATAGATTTGCATGAATTCCAATTTAATACTACAGTAGAGAAATACAGCGCCACCATTTTTGTATCCAAATAGGAAATAATTCTGGGTGTCAAAAGCACTAATGATCTTTTCGACTGCGAACTTTTGTATTCGTTGAAATTGGTGTTAATATGATGTTTGAGCTGTCACTACTGACATGCATCGTACATTATTTATTGATGATTGCAAGGTAATGCATAACGTGTTTCACGAAAAGTATGGAACTATAAATTTGTTGACATTGCACTGTCTAAGTACTAAGGAAAATTCTGCTATGAAAATGCCCAAATGCCGGTCCTAAACTACTGAAGTTTATAGCAGATGGGACGGAAGGGCGTGACAGCAGTTTTCAATATTTGTAATTTTCTTTTCTGCTTTTTTTTCCTCTATCCCATTCCTATATCTATCACTACATCGGTTTTAGTTTGCATTTCCATCGTTTATTGTGATCCCGGTGCACTCGTCGTAATCGCTACTCGATCAGTTGATGAGTCAGACAGTGGAGATGCTTTTTATTGACTGAATGGACCTGGAAACAAACCATCATATATTTATTCCTTCCTTCATGTTGTTTATTCCTCTCTAATTCATCTCAAATTCGATTTTACACCTGCCAGCCTTCTTTCATTCGGCGGTTGGAGTTTCTTTCTGTAGCTCTTCCTTCCTACAGCTTATTATCATCATTCTCACTAGTCAAATAACATGATTTCATTGTACTTCTTCCATCACACACTGTCTAGCTAAAGCTGGTTTCTGCCAGTTGCACTTATTTGTTTACACCTTCAGCTCACAAATAATGGGGAATATTGATATTCATCTGGTCACAGACATTTCATGCGTTTCTCATGTATAATTGTTCTGTTCTGGATACACTTGTCGCATTTGAAACTACTCTGAAGTGTATTAGTTGTGATCATCCAGCTAACCTGATGATAATTTCCATCATCGATCATTGACGGATGGATGGATGGATGTAAGCAGACCAATAAAGAGGAGAATAGGGCATCATATTGACATGGTAAATATGATGGTGATACAGTTGACGACGACTCCCATTGGAGAATATCATGTGTGAGATGAATGTAGTATTTCAGAAATGCATTTGTTTACTATTGAGTGTACTTGATGTGATGTTATGTGAGACGAATAGGGAAGTACAGAAGAGGAGGAGAGGTATGAGCTGCGCATATGTCGAGGGGATGAGCCGCCGGAGTGTAGCGAGCTTTTTTTTTTTCTCCTTTTCGGCATTTCCTGTCTTTCTCTTCCGAGAATAATCTCAAAAAATGGTTAAGGAGAGAAAAGAGACAGTAATTATTGCTGGCGAGAAATTTCAGCAACGGTAGTACTCTTCTGTAATTGCGATAGATAGTACGTCGTTGTCTTCCTGATAATGGCCATAGTGGTGAATAGAAATTAAGAAGCGCCTATGTGATTTATAAATCGTCATTGTCAACCGCAAACTTAGGTTTAGGGATGGACTTTGACAAGTGGATCTCTGCTTTTTAACACGGTAATTTTGGAGAGAGTTCTTAGCAACATTTATGTATAGCAAACTTTATGCAGCTGTCATCTATTCACAGTCTTCAAGGAGCTATGAGCCTTTCTTCCTAAAGGCTACCTATTGTTATTTATCCGGTCGACGGATCCTGAAAAGTAAATGGCGGGAGGGCGTCGAGGTCCGTTGAGGAACAATAAGGAAAGAGGGAGGAGTGCTCTCTCCCGTCCATCTATCTGTTGCTTGTGAACTCACATTTCATGTCTCCCGCACTTTGGTATTTTGGTATCAGTGCGCGATGATTTTCTCGTACTTGCACCCTCCCTTCCTTAATTTGAATTGAATTGATTTTAATGTGAAGATACGGAATGCTTCGCGTTCCACTGTTAACACACTCACCTCAAGCCTGAGTTAAATTCACCTTCTGCCATTCTCATTACACTTGGACAGTCAAATGGTGTATGTCTCATACCGAGAGAACGGTACTCGTCTACGTGAAGTTATTCAGCGTACATACACATTATTAAAAACGCATGCAGCAAAATGTTACAGTAGCATGTGGGCACAGTGAAGTATTGTACTACTTACCGATGTGGTCAATGTGGAAGTATCAATTTATTTTATTGATTATCTGAGATTAATTTAGGGTTAAATTTTTACGTATACTTAGATGTACTGCTAATGAAGGATGCCCTAAATGCAATGAGAGTTCCAGACAATTAGGGTACATTTTGACCCTCTAACTTTCACTTCAAACTTTTGACTCTCAAAAGTTTTTTGGAAGTCTATCTTGTAAAACTTGGTGCAGAATGCTGGAACCTCAAACAATTACCAATAATTTGTTCCATCCTTCAGTCATTGACAATATCAGCTATTTGAGAAATCTCCTGGTCTACTTTATTCTACAAATCTTCCTTGGATTAGTCATTAAAGAGGGAAGTTGGAAACAGGGAATACATGCCAAAAGTTTCGAGCAATGATGATCTTCAGTAGACATAATAGCGTGCAATAGCAGGATATCCGGAAGGTTGATTCTGTCCCTTGAATTGTTCGGTCATTTCTCGATGTTTTATACGGAATCACAAATCGCTGTTCATTGTTATTGAAATTTACAGCAGCATTTTGGAATAATTTTGTGTGGCGTACCTTTGTTTACCATTTTAACTATTTCACTAATCATAGTTTCTTCTACTTCATGTTTGACAAGAGTTTGGATTGGGTCCTCTCTTATCATTTCATTCATATCGTCTAGCTTTCATCATTTACAGCATACTTCAGTTAAGTTTTGGTATATTCGTGCTGGATTTCGTGAGTTCGTATTTCGAGAAAGAATCGAAGATCAAAGACTAGAAATGGGTATCATAAGTGCCATGTTAGCACTAGCATTAGTGTCTTGTAACCTAAGTAGAAATTACGATGGAAAAATGAGTTGGAACGGATGTGGTGCAGGTTTATTTGATCTATAAGAAATCTGCTGGACTTTACGATAGGTCACGTCACGTTGCGTATGCCTTCTTTTCACTGTGTCGATCGGGACAGGACTATTTTAAAAACTTCCAAACTTACATCCTTTCCTCTGTTTCAGACAGCTCTAGTAATGGCGAACAATCAACGCGACCCCTCCCATACTACTACCACTATTTTGCCCATTCCCTTCTAATATGCAAAATTGATCTCGTTTTTCATTTGGGACACTGATAAATTCGTATTCGTTTAATCCGGTTTCTTGGAGCGGAAAGCAGTTGCCGTATCATTTCCTTTTACACTCTTCTTCTGTTGGCATTAAGAGTTTCCTCCAATTTTCGACTTGGCCCAAAGGAAGAATTGGCCAGTGGAAGGATTTCATACAAAATTGAGAAATTACAAAGTAAAAGGAGGAGAGTGCTGTACTGGAAAGGAGACGGTTTCAAGCTACCACAGAAAGGTAATTGATTGATTTTGATTGTGATTGAATTTGTTGATTATGATTGAAATTTGTCTGATTGTGATTGAATTTGTTTCGCAATTCGGGCGGAATGTTTGAGTTTTGGTTGTAACATTTATATCAAATTAGAAGCTTAATTAAAGGTGTTCACAGAATAATTTGCAAATTTTGTACTGTTTTTTTGTTTATTGAAACATTAGAGCAAAAGAAAAGGAATAAATGAATAAAAGGATTGCTAAGAATTATTTTTAGATTTGTTGTCCACGCGAACAGATTACCAGAACATTTCCGGAAAGATCCAGATTGGGAAGCTTTGAAATTAAGCGAATATTTTCAAGGTAGGTTTGCATCTGCCCGTGTTGAGCTTGCTCTTATCAGCAGCATTTGTCGATATGTGGTTGGTGACAGGGGATGCGGACTTTGTTGTGTGCCACTGTTTTGTGCACAGCAGTTTGCTTCGAATTCGAGGAGACAGGTATTGTAGAAACTGATTTGCCTATGATCGGTAACCTGTAATATCCTTCTGGAAGCAATGGTTGGAGATTATTTTGGCGCAAAATTTTTCGAGTATTCGTAATGTTCTCTTTTTTCGCATTCTCTAGTAAAAAATATTGGTCTTTTTCCTTTTTCTGGTAATTCAGGCTAAAGCCGATTTTGACATTAGATCCTTGTATTTGATGGAGATCGAACCGTAGAACTAAAGGAACTGGGAAATGCAGAACAATGAGTTGGGATGGTCGAGTAGTAGCTTCATAAGTTCCGAGGAATATCATAGTAAGGTTTCCCAACAGCTTACGGAAGAGTCAGTTTTAGGAGAAAAAGAGGGAAGGAGAAAGAGAGAGGGTTAAATCACGAAATAAATCACTTATAGAGAGCAATCAATCAGGAAATAATAAATCATTGAATTATTTATTACTTTCTTCTTAAAAAGAATGCTTCTTAATGTTGAAAAGAAATGAGATGAGATGAATGATCAGTTGGAATTGCTGGTGACGATATTAGTATATGTTATGCAGTGTGACACGAATGTATTGATGTCACTCTGTTAGGTGTACGAATCGTTTCTCTACAAATGCTACAAATGCTTAGTACTTGTAGTAATAGCTGCAAACTCTGTTAAAAATGAATTTCGTTGTGATTTTTGAACTCTTCGTTAAGTTTATCATTATGGCTCTCCAAAGAGAATGGAATCAAGAACTGAAACAGATATATGGATGAAATGAGACAGTGCTTTGACGTTTTAATTTCAACACATGTAACAGTGACGTCAGTCTCTGTTGAAAATGAATGAGTCAATTTTTTGGGTAGCTATAAGAGCATAGATTTTTGATGATAAGATGACATCGACCGAATGATAACTTAAATGATCAGTGTGGTGGAGAGTTAGGTTGCTTTGTTTCTCATTTATTGATATCGAATTTGATATTCAAAGAATTTGCCAATAACAACAGTGATCAATAGAAGATCAGAATAAAGCATTTTCTTCCCAAGAAAGTTTCACAATCATTGGTATTATAAGAATGTACCAATTGTACCAATTGCTGAGAGCGTTAAACGACTGTATGTATATTAATACTGTCGTGGCGCACTTGAGTGGAACAATTAGTGGCGGACTGTTGTGCTAGTTGGTGACAACAGTGGGACGGTTCTTTTTTTTCTAGCACAAAAACTTTTAATTGCCACAAGACTGAGCATGTTAATCTTTGCTTTGCTTTCTTGCAGAGGTTGGTGCTGGAAAAGGAATGAATACCTAATAACTTGAAATAAGCTTGGCTACAGATTTTGGGTGAAGTGTCGCTTCAGCAATTTGTTAATTGGTGAAACGTGCAAATTTTCATGGGATTCATTAGCTATACTCTGGGGCTGACTAGTCCAAGGATCATATGGCCAAGTCAACAGCAATCCTCCTAGCGCCTAAGGATGGTTGACTTCCTTTAGGTTTAGCGAGATGAATTAGCTTCATAGAAGCAATCTTCACAGCTTAAATGGAAAGTGAGTTGTAGTAAGCCTTTTAAATGAGCTTCAAGAAAAGCTTAAGCTTTATTCGGGCAGGTGAAGAGATAAACAAATGAACGTATGAAATGCGTTATGGAGATAAAAACGGAGTAGTGTCGTCTGTTAGGTGGTTATGGTGATGCTGGTGGTGTAGTGCTGATGCCGATAATGATGATGATGATGACGGTGATGGTGGCGATGTTGACGACGTGGTAGTGATGGTTGTTGATGGCGATAGTTTTGGCCTTCCTGAACGTTTTGATATGAGAAAAATGAATCGATTTCGGTGGGTAACGAAGAAAAGAAAATAAATAAATGTAAAGAATAGGAGATAGGCAGAGATTGAGGAAATAGCCGCCTAACATTCCCTCCGTCTGTCCTCCACTATTAAAGTTTTTTTTTCTTTCATTCGGTTAAGTAAAGAAAAAAACCGAAAATTTTTGTGAAGAATTTCAGTTTTTCTATTGGCAAAAATGCAGAAAGAAAGGTGGGGGGGGGGTGGGGGGGAGAGAAGAGTAGACATATAATCCCTCTGTGTTGGTTGAGTGCTTCTTTCAAACGATATTTGTTCCTGAAATTTTGTTTGCTTTTTTTTTTTTTGAGTGGAATCAAATATTTTGCAGACTTTTGATTTGCTAACGTCAAGCACCTTTCTATGATTTCACACAGATAACGAAAAGGGCGCTTCACTGCACGAAACCTTTATGCTATAAATTATGCAGGAAATGTGCACTTCCTTTATTCTATACTGCATGCATGTTGCGTGATCCTTCTTAAATCCTCACTAGGATACAACTTCTATAAAACAAGATTTTGTTACATTTTCAAATCAGCATCCTCTCTTCCATTTATACTGATGGTATGCCTTAGTCTTTATTGTTGTTACTCAAAAGATCTTTTCCATGAAATGTTATCGACATTGTTGAAAATGCGAGTTTTTCTTATCAAAAAAAGTTTCTTTTTTTTGACGAGAATTTATAAAACTTATTAGATATTTATCTTTTGAGTGAGGCCTCTTCCATTAATTCTACCCTAATTCTGAAGCAATTTCTTCCCTACTTGATAAGGATTCTAAATCCATGTCTGATGGCTGTTTCGTTCCAGTAGATACGAAAAGGTTTATTAAGGTTCTCTAGACTTCATTTACTGCAATTAGTATTGTAATCAGCGAACTAATGCAGTTACTTTTGTTCATTTCATCTTGCTATCACTGATAAATCAATCAGTTATTGTCAAGACGACCAATTGGTGTGTATTAGGGAAATGTGCCCTTTGTATTGGACAAATATGAGATAAGGTGGAAGTTGGGCAAATGATTGTAACGCTAAAAAGGAGTAGGAAGAGGTATTGCAATTAATTCGATTAGATTGTTTTGAAACTTACGTCAACGGCCACAGAAACACATTGCTTTCTGAAGCATTTTAGTGCTCTTTCCTCCATGAAAGGAATTTTTATTTTTGACAACTTGGATGTTACTACCACTACTGCTAGTTTTGAAATTTTTGGAGACATAATCATACTCCGGACTTTTTCATCGCTTTCAGAAGTGAATTGTGTTTCGAAATAATATGACTAAGGCTTCCGAAAGAAGCAGTAAATGGCATTAGCAGTAGCAGTTATCATATGGGTATGTAAGAAGGTATGTAGAAACGAGGTCATTCAACATGTAATTGTCACAGCGAGGACATCCTCTTTTGCATACATGTCAGGTTGGACCTTTATCTGATCGATGAGCACGATGAGGACTAAAAATAAAGGCTGCACGAAAAATGCAACAGAATTGTTAATTTTACGAAATCTTTCAAACTTGTCCCTTTTGATTAAATCAAACACTGCTTAATGTATGTCAACAAACAACACAGGTTAAAGCGCATTTTCCGGCCAGGTAAAGTTTCCAGTTTATGCTCTTCTGATATTATGTGATTGGTCCAGAAACATGGAAATGTTGGTGGTGCACAATCATTTCCCTTCCAAAGACATCCCCTCATTAATATGTCCTTAGCCATTACTAACTGAATTTTATTCCGTGTCTAACTATGGATACACGTGACAGTGCGTTACAAGACACTCTTACCATTAATTAAATGATTCATTCAACATCTTAAGAAGTAGTGAAGGACTGTATATCGATTCTGTTCTTTTTGTATAGACTATTTTTGTATAGACTATTTGACGCTGGTTATGCATCAATCAATAAGTCTCTTTTCAATCATTTTACCGTTTTCGAAGATGACAACAGACTTCTATAACATCTCTGATGAGCAAAACACTAACACCTCTTGTCACGATCGAATTACTCTTATATTCCCAACACTTCAACCGTTTTACCCAAGTATAAAATATTCCAGATCGTGTATTGTTGAGCTGCCGAACTTCTAGTCCACTTTTCCTTTAAGTGATTTTCCATGAAACCGGACGTTAAAAAAATATTAAATTCCATCTGTGGATTCATGTTTAGGAAAATAAAACTGCCGTTCAAATATTCCCGGTGAAGCTGGATACTTAACACTGATGGAAGTCATATCAGTCGATAAACTAGATCGAAGGAATGAATACTTTATGGAATGAAATAGCAATTGTACATAAACGACTCTACATTGACCTCTCAGAAATTGTATTATTACTGCTATCAGCATGATATATGATGCTTATTTTCTGGCTCTTTTTAAATGGGCTGATGGAGCTTTCATTCCCTAGCATTTCTTTTTCTTGCTATAAAACTTTTGATTGGTAATAGTCGGTAGCTCGATTGAAGTCCTTTCTTTTCATGGTGAGTAATGGTTTAATGTCGTTTTCGTGTTACTTTGTTATGGGTGGAATTTTTCTCCTACTTTTCATCCACTAAATGTAATAGCCACGAAATGCATGCGCCATGCGCTCATGTATGTGTGTGTGTGTGTATGTGTATGTGTTTGGATGTGCTAGGAGAATTGAATCGACTTTTTAAACTTCCCGCAGTATTCTATGAACAGAATGCAGTTTTACATTGACGGAAGGGGAAAGTGAGAGTCACTTTCTTCACTTTTGATGTTTTTCCAACTGCATCATGGCCAGAATTTAACATTTCGTTCTTCAAATTTTTATTTTTGTTATCCGTAAAGGTCACGAAATTTTTGCAAGCATAAGACAGAGAGATTGAAGAATTCTTAGGTCTTACTGCTTTATGCTTCTTTCTAATGTAGTTCACAGGTGTCATAATGTTAGCATCTGAAATGTCACTCGGACAAAAAGCGAGAATCGAACCTTTCATGTTTGTTTTGTAAAATATTTCTTGTTTAGTTCCTGCACCATCAGTTCCATTGCAGGTATTCTGACCTAATTGTTATTTGAGAATAATCTGAAGCAAAATTTGCCGACTCTTATTGACATTTGTCATCACAAGCAGTCAGTTACAATTGTCTACCAATTGAGGATGTGGTATGTCTCTCCAGTTATATTGATATTTCCATTGTTCATAGTAATGCAGTATAGCTTTATTATATGCATTTGAAGTTAATATAATGAAGAGTAAGAGGTAGGGAATCATTATTGGTTTGTTGGAAAGGAGGAGAATTGTGGTAATGCTAAATGCTAAATGCTAACTAGTGCCACCACTAATAATGCTGGTGCTACTATTGCTCTTGTCCCGTTGCTACTAACTCTCTAAACCAAAGCTTATAAAAGGGCTTCAAAAGCTTCATCGAACATTCAAGATGCAGTAGAAAGCAAAAGAGGTTTCGGACTGCTCCTTTCGAGACGACACACACACACACACACACACACACACACACAA